TTAGAATTAGGACTTTAGGAGAGTTTTAAGAACAATAAATTAGGAGTGTGTAGAGGTTTTAGGAGAGAGGTGATAAAGAGAGATGTTAGGAATGTTTTTATTAAGGAGACTTTTCAATTGGGTAATAATTCTCTTAGGAGAGAGAGAGGGAGAGAGAAAGAGAGAGATGTGTTGAGCTAATTAAGGAGAGTAGTTATTTGGGTAGAGAGAGTAAGAAAGGCAAGTTGTAGAGAAATAGATTTTAGGTAAAATATATTGAGGTAGCTAATTAGGAAATAAAGATAGAGGGTATTAAGTTGGCTTAATATGAGTGGTGGGAAGGGGAGAGGAGAGATAGTCAAGGAGAATGCCGAGTGAGAGCAATAGAGCATGAGGAGGCATGGTGACATGGTGACATGGACAGTCTTGCTATATATAGATAGATAGATAGATAGATACACACACACTAGTGGGGACCTGTGCGATCCACAAGATTTCTTAGGAAAAAATTGAACAATAAAAACTACTAATTATTATAATAAAGGAAGGCAATGTTGTTTAAAATAATTAATCTTTATTCTAGTAATTTGTTACAGAAATAATTTAGTTATTTAGTAAATTGGATTAATTATAGTAATACTTTTTTAATAAAGATAATAAATTACCGCTAATTACTTAATAAATATTTATTTTTCCATATTATTTGTTTGTGTTCTATTTTACTTTATTAATGATTAAAGGGTAAACTTCTTAAACTACTCTTATGATTTAGCTAATTGATTAAGTGTACCCTTACTGTTTGAAAATTGATTAGCAATGCCCTTACTGTTTTTAACAATTGACTAATACTTCCCTTACCGTTAGCATCCGTTATTACCCCTCCCTCATCCTCTGGATTCTGCTTTATTCAGATAAAATCCACAATTTTCCTTTTCATTGTCGTACATCTTTTCTTCTTCCCCATTCAATTTCCTCTTGAACCCATTTATGGCGAGGGGGTGTTCGCCGTTAAATCTCCACCTCGACCTCCGTTGTATGTCACTGTTTCAAATGCAGTATTGGGCTCCATCAAAACGCAGTATGGCACTGTTTCAAACGCATATGGGATTCCTGCTGCTTCTTTTTCACCAGCGGCACAGACAGAATTGCCGCTTTGAAACAGTACCGCTTGCTGTCGTCTGTTTCAAGGCAACGCTAGTGAATTCGGTTGCACCTTTCAAACCACATTTGCTTGTGGTGGTTGGTTCAGACCACCTTCGAGTTGCTTTATTGAGAGACAAAGTTCGTCATTAGTGATGCGAGTTGTGATTCATGAAGTGAGGCATGTCTCAGACCACCTTCGAGTCTACAACTCTGAATTAACAACTTGCCTACCAATTAAGATACCCGATAGAACAGAAAGGGAAGTCTAAGGAGATAGCGTTTTCAATGAAAGGAAACATGCAATATAAGGCCGCTATGCTTTGACAGTATCAGGATCATAATGGGTGAACAACGATATAATATGAAACAGAAGCTCAAGAAAGTGCAACACGATATCTAACCTGTTGAATATATAGATTATGCTTCCATGGCTGCTTGTTCATGAATTGGGAGTTGGGACCTCCTTCAGAATATCCTACCCATCTTCCCATGAGTGGCAAATACAGAAGGAAGGAGCGACCTTCCTGAACAGTACAGAAACTATCCATACTTACAACCATCCAAAGAAACCCAACTTCCAAAATTATCTACTAGACCTTCCTGAACAGTCTTCAATAAGTAAACAGATCCACATCGCAAAAAGAAATTGATCAAATCAGAATGTTGTTTCTTGGAAACTACCAGCACAATAAGTAGATCGACGAAGACCCATTTGAATTTGGAATACGAGCATCCAGATTCCGATCGAACAGTTCAAATGGGAACTAAGAGAGGGTACAGAGCATCGGCCCATATAGAATGGGAACTGAGAGGTTACAGAGCGAAATCGATGAACTGGTCCATACAGTTTTTCGTTAAATCTGCATAGTGAACAGGCATACCTTCCACGGTGACCCACTTCAATCGTCCTCTCCTAGAGCGTCATCAAAAATCACGCTTTCAAACCTTCATCTCAGACCTCCCCCTCCGCCTCTATCTCTCTCCCGTCTCTCTCTCTCTTAACCTCCTCTCTTTGGTCTCTCTCAACCTCCGTTCTCAGACCTCCCTCTCCGGTCTTCCAGTAAATTATTCTATAATTTCAATTTTGATTGGGATCCATCGAAATGCAGTATGGGATTCCTATTGCATGAAGAATAAAGGGTGAAATAGTCTTTTTCATCTTTATGGTAAGGGAAATATTAGTCAAACGTCAGAAACAATAGGGGTAGCCTTAATCAATTTTCAAACAATAAGGATACACTTGATCAATTAACTAAACCATAAGGATAATTTGAAAAATTTACCTGTGATTAAATGTTATAACTTTTTGTAAATATTACTTAATTATTTAAAATACCTAATATTGGTACACCCAAATCTAACTTGTCTCAACCAAAGCTTTTGCGCAGGTGGGGCATGAGTTTTCAAACTTCAAGATGGGCATGGACCAAAAAGCTCAATTTGAGGCCATGGGTAGTCCGAGCTGAATAGAATTCCATTTGAGTTTGCAAGGTTCCACCCAAGATGTTGGGTTAAGCTTGGGTTGGGCCTAGGTTAGTAAATTTGGACTTTAACCTTGTGTTGGTCAAAACCAGAGCTCATAGTTTGAGACTGGGGTTTGGGCTCAGGTTGACTCTCAAACCTACCCAAATTCTACACCAACCCGGTTAATTGAAAAAAGCATTTGAATTTTGGACAGGGTTAGGGTCAAATTTGAGCCATTATAGTCATCTTCCTAACTCAGTTAGAGCTATAGTGATCACTAATTCAAACGAACTCATTAGTCGTTAATACATGATACAATCAATCAAGGTTTGAAATATCATTATGTATCAGCCGTATGATCGAAACGTATCATATCAGGGCCTTCCTGATACACCCCTACAGGGATTGTAGTATCAGGTCAGACCATGATTCAAAAGATAGTTAGGACTTAAACCGACCCCTCTAAACCGATGTTAAAAAAAAAAATAAAACATAGTATCATTGTTCGAATGTCAATAAGTCTTCCACGTGCTGGTTATCCGGCAAAAATTTGACCAAACATATATGCATTTTGATGAGAGGGGATGGAAGTAACAGACCTGCTCCAAACAGCCAACTTACTGCTCCAATGTCCTTGTCAGTGTATTACAGCTCAAAAATATACTAAAAACAGAAGCATACAACCGAACCTCCTCTAAATAGCGAACTCCTAGTTACCAGCTAAGAATGGTCGATGGCCTTATGCTATGTTAAGGGTTAAAATGCTCACTGTAACAAAACCGGTTTTTGTCATTAAGTTAAAAACTGGGGCGCTCGATCACAGTGGAATTTTAACTGTGAAATATAGTGGTCGGTGGCCTTACGATTAAGACGTGGAAAGCCTTTGATCGTTTTGGATGAGAAAGAACTATCAGTCTATCACTGGTCGATTTGGACGAAGGAAAAGAGCCTTCGATCACCAAAACTACTGCGACAATGGTTGCAAAACCAACCATTACAGGTTGGGTGTAGTGACAAATAAGTTCCAGACTTCCAATTGCAACATTACCCTAAAACTCTAAAAAATAAAAACTTGGCTCCATCCATTAGTATTTTTCATCAATTAAACATACCAAATGTCTCCCTCCCCTCCATGACATTCTCGCGTTAACAAATAACAGATTTAAATTTTCCAACGAGTGATGATTTTACTCCATAGGGTACCTTTCTGTACTATACCTTTAAACTTGGGGATAAGTGGACTGCAATCCACTTAAAAATGGAATGATTTAAATGCTTATATTAAATTTAAATCATTTTAGAACCTCAATATTATGACGTTATTGACCATTTAGAATGTTATTTTTCATAGATTTGTATATATATTGTAGATTTTGTATTAATAAATATAAATAACATTTTTATTGAATACTTGCCACATGTGCAATTCAAAGTTTCTGTATTAAAAAAGCTATTGTCATCAAAGGAATAATACATGGTTTCTGTTTTGTCAATTGTTAATGAATCATAGATTAAAGAGTGCATCATTGATATGAATGCCAACTAGCTTTTAAATTTGTCAGTGGTTGGCCCATTGTGATTTCAATGCAACCATAAAGATTGCAAATCAATCCTTACTTGGGCTTTCCGAAGTTCTAACATTTTTGTAAGATCACTTGAAAAAGTTTTACCAAACAAGCTTTCCAAGTTTTGACTAATATTTGAAAGCTTGAAAGACCTGGATTTTTTAGGCTTTAAAAGATCTTCTATGAAAGCCCAACCAAACACCACCTTAGAGTTTTCTGGTGCCAGGAAGGGTTAGATTTGGCAAGTTGAACCCTACTAGAGATCTCCATTCATCTTCATATCAAAGACAAATTGCAAACCATAGCGGGCCAAACTCAGCCAAGAGATTTGAGTTGAATTTCCAACATGCATTAAATGGGTCCAAACAAGAACAACATCCATACTAAAATGGTGGGTTCAAACCATCAACAAGGAGTATCGCCAAACACTAGATCCCCCACACATTGCATCAGGAAATAATAGATAAAAGCAATAGGCTAAAAACCCAGAAACAAGAAAACAAGAAATGTTGCTGCTTTAAATTTTAAGGAAGCCATAGGACAGGACTAACCCCAAATCATGTAAAGCAGGCCTCTATCTAGGCACTATGCAAAAGGTGGCTTGTTATTGATCAACAAAGCACCCGTGTCTGAACTAGAGCCAACCAACCAACCCACCCACTGATCCACTGGGTCAGTCTCAAAACTCATTGTAACTACATGTTTTAGTAGACAATCACAACCACTAAAGTGAGCCAAATTTTCAAATCGGATGGATTTTCTTAAGGTTTGTGATGGATCATATTGATAAATGCAGATACAAAAGTGCAGTTTAGATCAACAGATAACCAGACGGCTAAAAGCGGGAAATGAAGGGAACGCAGTCACAAATCATAGATCAATATTAGCGTAATGGAGTGCAAAAGCTTTGATGTTTCAAAAAAATTAAGACAAACAAAAAGATCTGCCCGAGTTAGAAAATCAAAAAGAAAGAAAGAAGAAAATATACATATATAGCCAATTATTGTGGCAGGAAACAACTATGAGTTTCAAGCAATCTTCCACTGGCAAGTCACTCTCGGCTCCAAGCGGCAGACAGGATAACCATCAAATGACACCTGCTGTTGACTCAGAAATAGAGAGCCATGACATTGACTCATCTCAAGACCCCAGTAAAGTTCTCAAAATCCAAAATCAATTGCACAAAAGAAATTTATTTATCTACATATATAGCCAGTTACTGTGGCAGGAAACAACTATGAGTTTCAAGCAATCTTCCACAGGCATGTCAATCTCGGTTCCAAGCGGCAGACAGGATATAACTATCAAATGGCACCTGCTGTTGACTCAGAAATAGAGCCATGACATGACTCACAAGACTCAGTGAGTTCTCAAAATCCAAAATCAATTGCACAAAAGAAATTTATTTGTCTACATATATAGCCAGTTATTGTGGCAGGAAACAACTATGAGTTTCAAGCAATCTTCCACTGGCATGTCAATCTCGGCTCCAAGCGGCAGACGGGATACCATCAAAATGGCACCTGCTGTTGACTCAGAAATAGAGCCATGCCTCCTCAATCACAAGACCCAGTAAGTTCTCAAAATTCAAAATCAATTGCACCAAAGAAATTTATTTATCTACAAAATAAAATGCGCAAACCACTTTCCTGGGATATACTTCATGCTTTTGGAGGAGGAACTATAAAATTTCCAATTTTTTGGTTGCCTTTTCTACAGGGATTGGATTTAGCTAGTTTAACCCATGGGGGCCCAGATCGAACTAAGAGATTCTACTTCTAAGAACATGCATTAGATGGGTCCCATCCAGAACATCGGCCACACTAAAATGGTGAATCCATAACCATCAAAGTAGTGTCACCAAACACTAGCTTCAGCAACATATTGTATCACGAAATAAAAGATGACAAGCAATAAGCTAAAAGCCCATACAAAGATAACTATAAATTTTGCTGCTTTAAAATTTGAAGGAAGTCACCAAGCAGGAATAACCCCCAATATGTAAAGCAGGCTTCTGTCTAGGCACTATGCAAAAGGTGGCTTGTTATTAATCAACAAAGCACCCGTGTCTGAACTAGAGCCAACCAAACAACCAACTAATGCTGTGGTTTGGTCCCAAATAACTCTTTGCAACTACACGTTTTATAGTATACCATCATAAATAACCACACATCCACAACATTGCAAATGGGTGGAATCATCATCAGATGGATACTCTCAAGGTTTGGGCTAGATCCCACTGTTAATAGCAGAAGCAAAACTTCAGTTCAGGTCGAGAGAAATGTGACCATAATATAGATTAAGAAAGTGTAGAAAAATCATGAAATTACATAGGATGGCCATAAAAGGGAAATGAAGGGAAGTGCTGCTAAATGATTAAGCATACCAAACAACCTATAACCCTAGTCTCAAATCATAAAACAATATTAGCATAGTGGGGTGGAAATCTTTAATCTTTAAAGAAACAAAATCAAACAAAACAATCTGAGGTTTAGAAAAATAAGAAAGAGGAAGAAAGAGGAAAATCTGCTGTTGGCTCAGAGATAGAGCCATCACGTTACAAGACTCATTAAGATCTTCTCAAAGTCCAGAAACAATTGCAAAAAGAAACTCATTTATCTACAAAATAAAATAGCGACTAATTTCTAAAGAGATACTTCTGGCAAGTTTAACCCAACCAGAGAGAGCACAATTTTTAGATCAGAGAAATTTTACAAATCTTAGGGGGCAGACCCATCTAACAGATTGAGTACTACTTCTAATAACATGCATTAGATGGATACCAGCTAGAACATCGAGCATACTAAAAAGGTGGATCCATTCCCATCAACATGTAACGTTCCAAAACACTAGCTTCAGGCATACATTGTATCAGGAAACAAAGGAAGACAGGCAATAGCCAAAAAATAGGCCATAAGAAAGATAATAAGAAATGTTGCTGCTTTAAATTTGAAGGAAACCATCGGGCAAGAATAACTTCAATCGTGATAAGCAGGCTTCTGTCTAGGCACTATGCAAAAGGTGGCTTGTTATTGATCAACAAAGCACCTGTGTCTGAACTAGAGCCAACCAACTAACCCACTAATGCTGTGCTTTGGTCCCAAATAACTCTTTGTAACTACACGTTTTATGGTAGACTATCATAACCACACATCCTCAACATTGCAAATGGGTGGATTTTTCATATCAGATGGATATCTTAAGGCTTGTGCTAGATCCCACTGATAAAGGCAGAAGCAAATCTCTGCAGTTCAGGTTGAGAGAAATTGGACCATAATATAATATGGATTTAGAAAGCATAAAAAAATCATGAAATTACATCGAATGGCCAAAAGGGGGAAATAAAGGAAATTCGCTGCTAAATCGTTAAGCATAACAAACAGCGTATAACCCTAGTCTTGAATCATAGAACAATACTAGCATAATGGGGTGGAAAATCTTTGATCTTTAAAAAAAAATAAAATCAAACAAAAAACCTGAATATTAGAACAATAAGAAAGATGAAGAAAGAGAAAAATATTCATATATGCAGCCAATTATTGTGGCAGGAAACAACGATAAATTTCAAGCAATCTTCAATTGGAAGTTATCTTGGATCCAAGCGGCAGACAAGACACCATTGAAGGGTACCTGCTGTTGACTCAGAGATAGAGCCATGACTCTACCTACAAAACAAAATGGACAAACAAATTTCTTAGAAAGCCACTTCTACAAAAGATTATCCGAGGAAGCTACACAAAAAAAGGCCAGGAAAAAGAAGACCAGAGAAAAAGGAAGATCCAACGCTTTCTCCGGTATGGTTACAGTAGCAGCGCAGTTTTTTCTATCGGGAGACACCTGAACCGGCATTGCGACGGAAACAATCACGTTCACCGAATTGGCAATCTTCGTCGGCCATGGTAGTTTGGGCCAATTAGTTGTCTCCGTCTGAGGGTGTTGGGGGACGGCATGGAACCCTAGATGAAACGATTTCGAAGTCGATGGTTAAGACTTTAAAGACGCTGGAATAACAAGTCAGGGTGAAGTAACAATTTATCGTTGGAGGAAGGATAAAATATCGGGATTCGCAAGCAAAAACCCTAACCATTTGGGACCGGAATATTCAAACCGGGGTGCAAGTCGAACCGGGTTAGGTCGGGTTGACGTCAACCCAACCCGATTTGTTAAGTCCCCAACCTTAATTACGGGTGGTAATTTCTAGCCTACCGGGTGGGTATTGCCCTATTTGCCAAAGGGAGGACTTGTTTTGCTTGAAAAGCGTATTTTGGGGTGGAAAGGGTGTCAATGGACCGGTTTTGGATTGGACCCCGTCCAGCCCAAAATCAATTTGGACGGATTGGATGGACCAATAAGACATATTGGATTGGACCAATCTGGTCCAAAATATATATTAGATTGGATTGGACATGGTCCGTCCATAATAAATTTATATTGGATTGGGTTGGATTAAGCCAATATCTAGTCCATTGATATAAGATAAGAATATAGGTATCAATGGACCGGGTTTGGTTTGAAACCAATCTAAATCAAAACGAATTTGAACAGGTTCGATGGTCCAGACATTGAATTGGATTGATCCAAAATATTCATTGGACTGGATTGGACTTGGTCCATTTATAATGGCCTCACATTAGACTGGATCAGATAGGACCAAATCCAGTCCAATTGACACCCCCGAATGGAAACGGTTTTTTATATTTTACAAACTAGTATAGGTACAAGTAGGGTATGGTATTATGCTAAATCCAACCCTCGTGGATCTGGATTTGCATATTGTTGCAAGACGTGAATTTATGTATTAAGTGTTAAATTTAAAAATACTTGAATTTTTGTTAAGGATAATTGATAGTTTAAGTGTTTTCTACATGTTTTAATCAAATAATTGAAAATTTTGATGTTTCTTCATGTTATTTTACTTACTTATTGTTTATACTAGTTGAGGGGCACGTGCATCTAAGGTTTATAAATAGGGTAAAATATAAATATGATAGATATTCTTGAAAATATTATATATTTTTTAAAACATATTTTTATTTGAAAAAACTAAAATTAAAGATTATTATGACTTGCTACACTGAACTCACAGCATGGTAGAAAATAAATTTTATCAAAAAACTTTTGAAATATCATAACTTACTAATGATACCATGTTGATTACCTAAATAAGTATGTATTGAAACGAAACTAAATTTCTATGAATGAACTCACTATAAATTTAGTGAGTGGAGAGTATGTATATATAAGTTGTAGTGCGTATAGGTTACAAAGTACAGATAAAATTAGCAGGTACAAGATAAGCTTTACAGACAGATAACGATAGCTTTGGTTATCTATTCAACTGAGATTTACTTGATTGACTTGTAATCGGACTCTTCTTCTTATCTTTATCAGCCCCTGCAGGCAGATGGGGAGAGGATGCACCATCAGCTTGTTCCTCAAGAAGGAAAACCGGGAAGAGCTTATGGTTTAGTAAAAATGTCTGATGGCTGATCTGCACTAGAGATGAAGTGAATATCTAAGGCCATGCAAGCAACTTGCTCCYGAACAAAGTGGTAATCGATCTCTATATGCTTGGTATGAGCATGGAACACAGGATTTGCAATTAAGTACGTCGCACCAAGATAATCACACCAAAGGATAGGAGTAGAAACAAGAAGAATTACAAGTTCGTGAAGAAGGGATTGGAGCCAAAGTAATTTTGAAGTAGTACAGCCTATGCCTCGGTATTCAAACTCAATGCTAGACCGAGAAACAATAGCTTGCTTTTTAGAGAACCCTGAGATCAAATTGGGGCCTAGGTAGATACAAAAACCACCCTGAGATCAAATTGGGGCCTAGGTAGATACAAAAACCACCCTGAGATCTTCTGTCATCCAAGCATCCTACCCAATCAGCATCGGAGAATGCATGAAGGCGAAGAGAGGGAAAATGAGCAACAATCAAGCAAAACTCATAATTAATAGTGTGTTTCAAATATCTGAGTATGCGCTTGATTACACTCCAATGCTTAGTAGTAGGCACATGCATGTACTGACATACCTTGTTGAAAGAAAAGGCTATGTCAGGACGGGTTATGGTTAAGTACTACAAAGCACCCACAACACTCCTATAGAAAGAGGGGTTTGGAAGAACATCTCCAATGTTCTGTTGAAGTTTACAAGTGGATGCCATGGGAGTCCAGTAAGGTTTTGCATCGTCCATGTGAGCTTTCTAAAGGAGATTCACTATGTATTGTTTCTAAGACAAAATGATGTTGTTAGAGCGACGAACCACTTCAATACAAAAAAAAAAATATGTAAATGACCCAAGTCCTTAACAGCAAAGGAGGTGCTCATGGTAACAATAAGATTTGATACAATAGTGGAGTCAGAACCAGTGATGATAATGTCATCAACATAGATGAGTATAAACATAACACACATAGGAGATGTAAATATAAATAAAGAAGTATCTACTATAGATGCCTTAAAACCAGCCTGAAGTAAGAATGAACTAAGCTTCTGAAACCAAGCCCGAGGAGCTTGTTTTAACCCATAAAGAGACCTATGTAAATGACAGACATGAGAATCCTAGGGGTTGCCTCATGTAAACATTTTCTTCAAGATCACCATGAAGAAACACATTTTGAATATCAAACTGCCTTATAGTCCAATTCTTGGACAAAACAATGGTAAGAACAATGCGTATAGTAGCTGGCTTTATAACTGGACTAAGTGTTTCAGTAAAATCAATCCCAGGTTGTTGATTGTAACCTTGAGCCAAAAGTTGGGCCTTATAATGGCTGACAGAGCCATCTAGGTTTCTCTTGGTTTTGAAACCCCACTTACACCCAATGAGATTCATATCATCAATGTGGGGAACAAGAGTCTAAGTTCAATTTCACTGAATAGCATCAATTTCTGCTAACATAGAATTCCACCACTGAGCACTTTTGTTGGCTTGACTGAAACAGGTTGGCTCATCATCATTGACTTCTAGTGGGTGATGAGAGGCAAGATAAACTTTGGGTTTATAAATACCAGCCTTCCCACGAGTAATCATAGGGTGTACATTGGTTACAGGTGGTGGAGTAGGAGTAACACTTTCAATAGCAACCTCAGGAGGAGTAGCTTGAGAATGAGAGCTAGCAGAACTTGATGATGTGGCAGCAATGGAAGGAGGAACATTATCACTTGAAATTGGAGAAGCCACTAAATTATGGACTTCCATAATAGAGGAGGGTGATACGGTAGCGCATAGTGAAACTTCAACGATAAGAGGAGGTCCAATAGATGTGGTGGAGCCATGTACCGATGAAGAAGAGTTAGAAGCAACTAAAGTTGCACAATGAGACTTGAAGGGAAATGTATCTTCATCAAACTGGACATGTGAAATAAAAACTTTGCTTGTAGAGAAATGGAGACATTTGTACCCACTATAGCCTTTACGATAACCCATAAATACACAAGCAACAGAACGAGCTTCAAGTTTATTCATGGTCAAGACTTGACATAGCACAGTGACTCCAAGTCAAAAACTCAACTCAGTCAAAGCTTAAGGAAAAAACAAGAGGAATCGCATAGACTTCCTTTCAAATGAGCACAATGTTAATAAATTCTCAAAGGGTGAAGCAAGCTCTCACTCTCCTAGAGTTTGGGGTGTGAAAATTAAAAGCCTTGCAAGATCAAACTCTATTTTGCATGATGATATTGATTCCCAAAATTCTCAACGGGTGAGGAGACACACCCTAAACAAGTCCCCACACAATTATGAAGATTCTTTCTTGGAACTGTCAAGGGTTGGGGAGTCCTCGGGCAAAGCAACACCTATCAAAACTCCTATTTTGTACTAAGCCCGATAAGTTGGTGGACAAAAAAGTTGACGTTTGGTAAATCTAAAAATTCAGATATGAAAAGTTATAAAGATATTAAAAGTGTCTTAAATCTAAAAAGAAGCGTAGATGCTTTTCTACTTTTTAGAGGATCTGAATCCATAAGTCTGCTTGTATTCGATCAACCCTTTACCATCTGAAATTTACTAATTTTACTATTTTACCCATAAAACATACTATTTGGAAATGTTGAGTTCAATTTGCATTAAGAGCCAGTCCAAGGTCTATAGTTTTCATATCTGAAAATATGATTTAGATCAAGTTTAATTTACCATATGAAAAGTGCAAGCAAATGCCCACAGAGTAAAAATGTTATTGAATACATTGGATTAGGACCACTATCTGTGTGTTGATGCAATGAGTCAATCTGATGGTCTTTGTTTACTTTGGAATTTAGACACTTCTCTCAAGGTGATTAACAACAACACAAATTTGATCACTATAAGAATCTCTGGCCATTTAGATAGAGGTGAGTGGGATTTATTATGCTTATATGGTTTTGCTTGCCACAAAGACAAATACATTCTCTATGAAGCTATTCGAAACTATCACGAGAATTCTACTCTCCCTTAGGCCCTAATCGGTGATCTTAATGCCATTTCTAGTCAAAGAAAAAAATGGTGGAAGGATGGTTTCAAACAACCATACAAGAGAACTAAAAAAATCTTATAAGGGATTTTGACCTCATTGATCTTGGATTCCATGGACCCGCCTATACCTGGTCAAATAAAATATTTGCTTATAGGCTTGTTAGATAATGTCTTGGTAGAGTTCTCATCCAGCTTTCTTGGTCAAAATTGTTCCCCATACTATGGTCAAACATTTCCCAACTATCAGTAGTGACCATGCCCTTATTCTGTGCAGTATGGTGGATTTCAAGAGGAGATATAGAGCTTTGAGAAGATTTGAAGCAATCTGGACTACTTGTAATGGCCACAAAGATAATCTACAACAGGTTTGGTCAAATTCCAATAGAATGTTCACCTAGAAATGGAATTCTTGCAATGTCCATTTATCAAAATGGTTCAACTCAGCCCTCCAGTTTAAAACTAGAATTACTGAAATAAGAAAACAAATTGAAGAAATTCAATTGGGTGATGTTAGTGATGAAAATTTATAGAAGGAAATGGCTCTCAAACAAGAACTT